AAATTAAAAAATTAATTATTTTAATAATAAATCGAATTGTATAAAACAATAAAATAAAAAAATGACACCAAATCATTTCATTTTTTTCTTTCTTTCTTTCTTTCTTCACAAGCCTACAGTACAAGCTACAAGCTTACAAGACACAAAGGTTAAAAGTTGCGTTTAAAATTTTTTTTCCCTTCTTTTTCGGTTTGTTGAGGTTAGCAATACGCGTGTACATGCTATCAAATAAATAGTTATATATTATATAATATGATAATAAATTATATAATTATTATATATTAATTTTAATTTTTAAAAATAATTAAAATTTTAATTTATATTTAAAAATTAAAATTTCTTGATATTAAAATTTAAAAATTCATTATATTTTTTAATATATCAATATTTAATAAAATAATTTTTAAATTTTAAATTAAATTTTAATTATATAAAATGATATATTTTAAGTTAAGAACTCAAACTATTTTATTTATATGTGTTGATAAATTATAATAAAAGGAAAGTGATCTTTTTTCTCAAATTATTGGCATATGATTTAAGATTTAAAATTAATATTTTTAATTATTAAGTTATCCTCTATAGATAAAGAATAGTGATATAAATATAATTTTTGATATAAATTTTATATGTTATTAAATAAATTAATACATTTAATATAATGAGTATCAAATTAATAAAAAAATTTAATAATTTAAAACACATAAAATTATATAAAAATTTTATACAAAAATATTATCTTTAGCCTAATATTTAGATTGAGAAAAATTTTAAAAAAAAAAATTTTTTCCTCATCCTTTTAGTTTTTTTAATAAAAAATAAAATTCTTTTCCCTTCCTCCCTATCTCATTTTAACTCAAAACATTTTATCTTCGAATTAGACAGTCCTTGTTCGCCAAAAACAAAAATCCTACGTGGCGTTCAATTAAATGTTCTATTTCACGGTAAGGACCAGTCCAGTCCGAACTGCGGACTGCATTAAGTATGATTGTATTTTGAACCATGAGCGGTATTACAAACCGGCTCGTTAACCAGACCGAGCGGTGGTTAACACTTCATAGGCTTTACGATTCTCCTCTTGGGCTCTTACAGAGACCGAGTTCTTCGCGTGAAGTTGAGACCGTCAGATCGGAAAATCCAATCGAAATCGAACAGAGAAAATGGAGAGGAGATGGGGAAAGATGTGGGTATTGATGGGTTTGCTTCTATTCAGCTGGGTGAGTGACGTCTCCTCCCTATCTGTGACCGTAAACAACGTCGAATGCGTCTATGAATACGTGCTCTACGAGGGCGACAACGTGTCAGGTAACTTCGTGGTCGTCGACCACGACATCTTCTGGAGCTCCGATCACCCTGGCATCGACTTCATCGTAAGTATAGCACTCTTTTACTTTTTGGGTTCGTGCTGTTTAATCTGATCTGTGGATACAAGGCCTTCTGCGTTTTGGGTCAATATGATTTATCGGTGATTATGTAAAATTTTACGACTTTTTTGATTTCTGATCTGGGGGGTTAATGAGTTAATTGGGTTTAAGGGATACTTCAGGGGTTAAGCTTTGATGGCTGGTTTTGAAGTGGCCAATTTTGCTTCTGAGTATGAGTTTCGTGGGTTTTGGATTAACATTTTGTGATTTGTACGGTCTTGTTGATGAAGGATGGTAGGTTTTGGTTTGATGCAGTTGATATGATTTTATCTCTGGCTGTGTGGTTTTCTGGGAACTGGGATTTTTGCTGATGTTGTTGAGCAGGGTAAGGGTTATTGTAAAATTAGCAGTTTCGATTTTTATTGAAGGAGAACCGAATTTTGGAAGTATCGTTTTTTACGCGACTCCTCTTCCCAATCTTGCTTTTACAGTTGCAGATGTTTGTTTAATTGCTAACTTGGTGTTAATTCATGTTTGGTGGCGAGGAAATAAGGATGTTTAATGTTGATGATTTGCTGGTTTGATCAGGCTAAAAAAGAAGTTTCAGTGGCATGATAATGCACCAAATGTTTTCGTTTCTTGGGAGATGGCTCATGTTTTTTATAAAGTCCTTCTTTTTATTTATTTATTTATTTTTGATAATCCCCTTAGAAATCATTTGTCAGCTGAATATAGCTTTGTTATAAGTTATAATTGCATGAGGGTATGTTTGGAGAAAAGTTAATAAAAGACAGGGAAGGAAAGAGAGAGGAAGTGAATAGTTTTTTTAATAAAGATATTCAGTGTCATCCACGTAATGCAATTTCAGATTGAATAGTTTACAACTCTTGGCTGGACATCTACTAATGTAGGATCTCATCTTTTTGGTCTGATATGAATAATTTAAGAGATATTTGAAATTAGTATAAAAAAGTAAGGATTAGTGTTATAATAATTACCAGTTAGTAACTTGTTTGATATGCACTTCTGTGCAGGTGACATCTCCTGCTGGTAATGAAGTTAAAACTTTGAAGGGGACCTCTGGAGACAAGTTTGAATTTAAGGCCCCAAGAAGTGGAATGTACAAATTCTGTTTTCATAATCCCTACTCTACAGCAGAGACTGTTTCTTTCTATATTCATGTTGGCCATATTCCAAATGAGCATGACCTCGCCAAGGATGGTTTGTCACATCTTCCCTTGAACCCTTATATCTAATACCTAATGTCTGTATATTAAGCTGAATTTCTGCTGTAAATAATACTCAGCTTTACTTGACAATTTTGAGTGCCTTTTTGTAACCTGTTTACCTAATTTATAGAATATGGCTGCAGTTTTCCTTCAAGTTTGATAGCTTTGACTTGCATATTATTACTTTGCTACAGAGCATTTGGATCCAATCAATGTCAAAATTGCACAGCTAAGAGAGGCATTGGAGTCTGTTACAGCCGAACAGAAGTTCTTGAAAGCACGTGATGCTCGACATCGGCACAGTAAGCTCCTTTCCTTTCCCCCTATTGCACTTATGTATTGATTGACGGTTGTTTCACAAAAGTTGGTATCAGATGCATACATTGTAGACAGAAATAACCCTCAGTTTTAGGGCTACTCTCCCAATCTAATTGAGGGTAATAAGATAATAATGTTCTTTTTTTTTTCTTTTTTTTTTTATCTTTCTTTTCTTTTTCTGTTTTTAGTTCAAAATTTTCTCTCTTACCACATCACTCTGCTTTGACCTTCATTATAGTTGCACCTACCATCATAATACCCACAATTGTCCACATCTACTACTTTCAAGCCCAGTAGCCCTCATGATACCGGAGTTTATAATGATCATGTTGCTCAAATTTCTGAAAAAGAGAGTTTGTATTGATCACATGGTACCTTTAAATTTGAAGTCTTTAGGAAGGGAAAAGGACGAGATACAATCCAACACCTATATTTACATCCCCAATTCATGCATCTATATTTCCATGCTTGCACCATTGAAGATGTCATTCGCACACCAGTGCTAGTATGGGCACAAATATACAGCATCATTTAAGATTTGAATTGACATGGAATGTGAGGTCTTAGGAACCAACTTAAGGTAAAATTATGCATGTATAATTGCAATATTCCTTTGTCCAGGAAATCTCCAAAGAAAATGGATTGTGTTTTTTTTTTCCCCTATTGAATTGATCTCAGTAACTATTTGTCCTTTATTTGCTATTGGATTGATCATATCCACTAGCTTGCTAGTTTCATGCTGTATTGGAAATGGGGAATGGAGCATGACAGATAATTCTAGATGTATATTTATGTGATCAAGCTTACATAAATGCAAATACTTGTCTTGACATTTAGGTTGGAAAATTCATGGAATTCTCTTTTGCCATTATCTAGATAGCTTCTTGAACATCAATAATCATGCAGGACTCAATTTTCCATCTTTTTTTGTTGGACGTTGCATATATATTTTCTTTCTTTCTTTATTCATTTTTTACTTATGGTCTCTTGAATTGCATTTCTTATAGACAATCGCCTTAACTTTGCACTTCCTGACCAGCCTTAATAGACTTTTAACTGCACAATGCATTCTTGATTGAGCAATATCCATATCACATTTGTACAATAAACTTGATACTAAATCACTGTTTACTTGCATACAATCTCATTGGGGGCTTTGACTGCAGCAAACGAAAGCACCCGTAAGCGTGTTGTAGGCTACACAATTGGAGAGTACTTACTGTTGGCCCTTGCCAGTGGACTTCAAGTTATATACATCCGCCGCCTGTTCAGCAAGTCAGTTGCTTACAACCGGGTTTGAACCAACTGGTTAATTTAATCAGTCCATTAACTACGGGGCCGTAGAATGAATCCCATAGATGAGCCAGAAAATTGTCTTGTTCTACAGCACAGCAAAATTTATACATCCTTTTTACCCAGTGTTTTATTCCAACTAGAATGCAGTTTTCGAACATAACTGTTTTAACTAATATTTGGTGATTTAAGTGACATTTCGTTATTCTTATTCTATTAGAGACCTGCACACTATTCTATTACTGCTTGATGTATATTATTTATATAATATTTCAAGTTAAATAATATAAAGTCAGAGGATTAGGACAACAAAAAAATACTATAGTAATGTTTTAACATTTAAAAATATGTTGTTAAGTTCGGATGCATGGTTTAAATAATTACACAGTAGCAAGTTCTTTTAATGTTAAGATATATCTTTTCATTTATTTATTTATTTTAATTTAATATAGTTTTGTCAACGATTTAAATAATTTGATAGTTATCTCTTTTCGTTGGAAGTGAAGGGTTTTAAGTTCAAGTCGTATAGTATGCGGGTGAGATGTGATAAATGATGGGAGATGATTGTTTTTTATTATGTAAGATAAAAAATAATGATAATATGAAGAAGTTAATGCAGTTTTAAAGATAAAATATGTTACTCTTTAACATCTAGTTGATTTAAATACTTCGGTATGTGGTACAGGGTCCAATGGGTCTCATTCTCATAGGCCATTGGAAGGAAGAGAAACTGGATTAGTCTTGAAAGTTGCTAGAGAAGCAGTGAAGAAGTCCTGAACAAATACAAGAGAACTGGTTCCTTTAGGCTTTAAATTTTTTAAATGGATAAGTTAAAATATTTTAAAATTAATTTAACAAATATTTTTCCATTAAAAATAGTGTGAAGTAATTTAAATTGAATTAAATTATGTAACATTTATTATTAAATGGAGCAAGTCACTAAATATTAGAAGTTGTTACTTAATTAATACAATTTAAATTACAAAATAAAAAATTTGCCAAAAATAAATAAATAAATAAAAGATACCGCCACTTGTTGCCGCGCATGTCTCCAGTCCTAAACCAAAACGGGGTTTTTTTGGATTTATTCCCTAAAATACCCATTTTTTCGTATTATTTATACTTTCTATGAAGTGTAATCTATTTGTGAGATTCGAAACTGTTTATTAAATACCAA